TGTATGAGTCAGAGTCTCAGGTGGAAATAGATGGCACCCTCAAAAAAGATTATCTGAAGACAGATTGATGGAAGTTTTATTTCAGATATGGAAGGGTATGGGACCAACTAGGAAGAGCTAGTGAAACACTAGAGACAACTAACAGCAAAATAATTATCACCCATCCCTACATCTGAAAAACCAAAGGAAGAAAACAGGGTTATTGGGGTCCAGCAAGAGCTAATGCTGCAGAAGAAGGCTACCTGATAGGAGCTATGGCCACAGAGGAATACTGTGACTGTCAGAGTTGGGGTGGGGTCTAAAGGCATCAGAGAGATAAATGCCCAAGCTCTCCCTCCTCCTGCCCTCCACTCCCCTGCTATGCCTTCCACTCCAAGCCCAACCAAGGCCAGAGAGCAGTGGAGTCCAGGTTGTGCAGCCCATAAAGGTCAGGTTCCCAGGCCATGGAGTAGGGCAGAGAATGGATTTGGTGGTAGGGAGCTATAGAGAATAAGCAAGGTAAGAATAAATTTACGTGCATTGTGCAGTGTCAAGCAACCCAAGGAAGGGGTGCCCAGTGGAGAGGCTAAAGAGAGAACCAATCTGCATGAAGACTGTAGTCTGACCCTGCCCTAACTGAGATTTCAGGTTCAGGGATTATTCTCTCCAGTAACATTTCTAATACCAAAATTATAACATTTCCCAATACCAAAATTCTGATGGAAACCTCATAAATTTGGGGAGAATAGCTCAATATTATCTTTACCATTCTATCTAATATTTGTTCAGAGTTTTATAGCTTATAAGTGTTGTTTTATACATCTAGCCAATTTAAATGTGATAACTGCACTCTAAGGTAGAGATATTAATGTTAATTTTAAAAACAATAGCCAAAGTACTACACTTAAATTATCCTATTATGAATCTTTACAATGGTCCAATGAGATAGAGACTATTTTATGATTTCTGTCTTACAGGTGACGAAAGAGGTTAAATAATTTGTCAAGACTACATGGCCAGTGAAACAACAGAGCTGGGGCTAGAAGTCAGTATGCTGTTCTGCCTTTCTTTAGAGCAGCTGAGGCTTGGAGAAGCTATAACCTGGGCAAGGTTACATAGCCAGGAAGCAGAAATGGTTGAACTCAGGTCATTAGAATTGTGTTAGCCCATCAAAAGGTCAGTTGTAAACAGAAAATTTTAGAGAAATATTTAGCTAAAAAAAAAAAAAAACCCAAACTAAAAAAGCTCTTTGCAGAAATACCCAGGTATTATAATTTAGCTTGTTTACATCATTGGCCAGATGATAACGGGCTTCCTCATAGTTTTTCTTAGCCATGTAGAGAAGTCCCAGGTTCCGGTGCAGTAAAGAGTGGGTGGCATTACTACAGTCAGTTGATTTGAGGACAGTCCACTGGGCTTGTAACAGATATTCTTCAGCCTGAATGATCCGGCCCAAACCTGCCCAAAAGCAGTACAGAAGATTATCATTCATATCCTGTCCAAGGACACAGATGAAATATGAGTCATTACCCATTTACTCATTTATTCATTGACTCAAGTATTTATTGACACAAAAAAACTTGTACTAGACAAAACAATTTCCAGCCCAGGATCATTTCTCCAGGATACTCTCAGACCCACCCTCCACAATGACCAGTGCAATGCTCTACCTCGAAAGTAAACTCATCCAGAAATTTTTGAACAAAACCCACTTCCACAGTGGTGAAAGGATTAAAAATGTCCACTGGCTATCTGAAAATCATGACACCCAAAACACAACCAGGCTCATCAATTCTCTCAATTAATGTGAATCATTTAAATTGTCCTCTAAAGAGGCACAGGCTAGCTGACTGGATACATAAACTCAGATGGGATATCTGCTATAAAGAAGAATCTCACCTTACCTTAAAGGATAAAAATAAACTCAGGGTGAAGGGATACACTTGTATAATACAGGCAAATGAAAACCAGGAAAAAGCAGGGGTTGCAAGTTTAGTAGCAGATACAATTGGCTTTAAACCAACAAATATAAAAAGAAAGATAAGGAAGGTCACTACATATTTGTCAAGGGAAACACCCAACATGAAGAGATTTC